GTATTCTTCCTTAAATATCACACACTTGATATGAAAACACACCTCCTTTCTGTTGAAAGATCTAGCAAAGTCTGGGCAGGTAAAGAGATGATTTCAGCATAAATGGTACATGAACTGGTGGGCATGGCTGACTTGCTGAATAAATACGAACATCCCCTTTCCTTAGCTGCTGCAGATCAGGAACATCACGGCTCAGGCTTCAGCTTATTGCAGTATCAGTAACAGTTTCAAAATCGGCAGTGCCTGCCCTTGAAACAGGGGAATGCAAAACATAACTGGGGTGGGGGAAATCCGAATGCATCTGGGATGAAATCCTTTCCCGTATTTTGCAGTTTACTTTCAACTAGTAAACATCTTTTTCGCACTTACAGCAGTAGCAGCCTTAATGCAGCAGGCGAGTTTGCTGCTCGCAAGGCCTGTCTTTGATCACCAGTCACAGATTTGTGCTTCTCTCCATTCCATGGGGATCTGTATCTAGAATTTCATCTAGAATTTCACTAGGCAGGAACTTCTCGTGGGGCCTGGCTCCACGTCCACCCATCTGTTAATCATAGTCTATTTTAACTTTCGTAATAGCGTTCAGGTTTGGTTTTTCGCTGCTACTCCTTCCATGAACAGAAGTTAAATGCTTTTTAAGAGCAGACTTGTGTTTAAAGTCCATGTCGCAGCAATGACACTTGTAGGGCCTGTCACCGCTGTGTATATTGAGGTGATCCTGAAGCGTGCTCTTGGCAGTGAAGGTCTTCAAGCACACCATGCACTGGAAGGGGCGGATGCCCATGTGCCCCCGGATGTGTCTGTTGAGATTCTTTTTTTGTGTGAATGTTTTGCCACACTGCAAACATAAGAAGAGTTTGTGCATTTTTAGATGTCTGAGATAGTTCTCAAGATGCAGAAATCCCCTCGGACACTTTGGACACTGGTGCCGCCATGAATTGCCAGAATCGTCCAGGCTCTGGAACCCGTTCATCAGACTGGGGGCTCCTTCTGGATTGTCACTGACAAAAGCCTGGAAGTGGTTTCCTGACATTTCTGTATTTCTGCTTTCAACTGTTGAATTTATCAAGGAATGCTGGGTTTCCGGAAAATACAGATTTGTTTTAGAGGATGTGCAAGGCTGAGGAAAATGATCATTTTCTACATTCGCTACGCTCATGGAATCCATTCTGAAGATACAGATTTCATCGTCCTTGTATCCGATCTCAACTGTCGATATTTCTGGGGTTTTTGTGTCCTTCCTTTCCGAGACCAGGCTCTGCACCGCAGGCTGCGAGACGTCCCCCTTCTCCTGCTTCACGGGGTATTCCACAGTCACCGGGCTGTCGTCGGAGATCTCGATGATTTCACAGTCTTTATCTGAAACCTCACCCCCGTTTCTCAGCCCGGCGTCCGAGGAGTGACATCCCTCTGCGTCCTGCTCGCCGTTCTCCATGGCAGCATCGATTTCCAGGTACTTGGACAGAGCCTCGGTGCACTTCTCCACGATGTGAACCATCTGGAGGTAGCTGGCGGCGGTGAGATACTTCAGCAGCTCCTTCTTTTTGACTTCGAGAGCCCCCGTGTAACACGACAGCAGCAGCTTTCGGCCCACCTCGGCGCTCTGCAGGATGGTGATCCGCACCTGCCGGGACTGGTTGAGCAGAAACTGGTCCCGCATGAAGGTGGAGCAGGCGGCGAAGATCACCTTGTGCCCCTGGAACTCCGTGTCGTTGATGTAAACGGAGACGTCGCAGAAGAGGTTCTGCTGCCGCAGGAGGTTCATCTTCTGCAGCACGGCATCGCCCTGCTGCTCGAACTGGAAGTGCAGCACC